TTAATAAAAATAAGAAATATTAATGGCCCCAGCACTGAACCTTGGGGTACACCTGATGTTTCTGGAATCGAACGTGAATGCTCTCCTTCTAGAACTACCCTTTGACTTCTTTTCTCGAAAAACTTTTCAACCACTGCGATGTAATATCATCACTACCACACTTAAATTTGTATAGCAATCCATTGTGTGGAACCCTGTCAAATGCCTTGCTAAAGTCCATAACAATGACATCTGTTTTGCCACCTCTCTTAGTTCTCTGCCTTCGAACATTTTATTACAAGAAATCAGCCGGAGGTTTCGATGGTCAGGTCTGGACTTGAGAAATATCAACCAAGAAAGAAAGAGAACTTTTGACAAATTTTAGAAAGCAGCCTAATAGTTGTTACTAAATAAATTATTCGGAACCTCTAAATAAACATATCAAAATTGAAATGCTTTTCAAACCCCTTGAATATCACACAGCTGTTTAATGATAAAAACGATTTTTTGCTGCATTTAGAATGTCTTTACCATTTCAACTTTGTTGATATATCCAAATTATTTCATTTTCTTTGTTTTAATTTACGTCAGCTGTAGATATTACACCGGAGATGAGCCCAATAATAATAAACACGCGTACAGTTATGGAAATTAAACAAGACAGTCACAATTGAAGTACTTACTAGCTCGATAGCTTAAACCTAAATAACTTTGGACTTCAGAAGATCAAATATTATGGCTATAGGCTGGATAGAAACGTACGCTTGAAATTCGATCTTAATATGTTAGTTATTACCGTTAATGTACCCTGACATCTAAAAGTTAAATACTACTTGTAGATACCCACTACAGCCACTATTGTTGGCTTTTCTGATCCCACCTTCAAATGTAATCACAGACGCCAGCTCTCCCAGATTGCGTCAGAAAGAATATCGCAAGAACCAATCGGTTCCCAGCATTTTCTATTAAAATAAATACAGATGTACACGCAGCAAACCGTAGCCTTAAGAGTTAAATTGCATTCAGCTAGAAGAATTCGTTGCACCTTGTCAGTCAAGGCTGAGCGCAAAGGCCTCTGATTACAAACACAGCAGTACACCGAACAAATTTTACCAAGTCTGTGTCAATACAAGCCGATCGGCTAGGCGAGCTAACGAAAGGTCCGTCGATATGGAAGTGGACAACCTTAAGTGGTATAGTCCTCTGCTGTTCTTTTTTGGAGCTATTGTGGGTTTTGCTGATCCCATCACCGACATACTCACACTGGTGGAATTCTATCGCACGGATCACAAGACATGGTTTGGTGTGGGGCTTGCTTTTGTTTTATTGCCATGTTTGATCTTTCCATGTGTGTTCGTTCCTAGCCGTTCACCCTCAAATTGTTTGAAAACTGCTCTTTGTGCATTTCATCCATTCTCAGCATCCTTCGCAAATACGGAAGCCTTTATTTTCTGTCAAGAAATGGTGGTTTAAAGATGAAATCGACAGGGATGTTTATCGGAAAGCTGAGGTTGTACTCGATCAAATTCCCTTTACTGTGTTACTTGAAGCATTCTTTGAGTCCGCCCCTCAATTAATAATCCAATTGTACGCCATCAGCGTTCAAGAGAAACCAGTTGCGATTATTCAATTGATTTCTTTCCCTGTCTCTTTCCTCGCTCTGGCATGGGCCTTCACAGCCACTTATGAGATGACATTGGGGAACTGGGAGGTCTCTTACGGTGGTGACTTAAAAGTAAAACACAAAGTTGCATTGTATGTTACTCAATTACTTCTCTTGAGCAGTCGACTGTTCGCCATCTGTTATTTCACCGTCAGCTACAAGTGGTGGGTTATTGGCGTATTATCATTTCATTGTTGTGCTATGATAATGGGGAATTGTATTCTGGAAATAGGTAGAAACGATGTCTACCATGATATAGCTTTCAGCGGCATGTATATTCTGAGTGATGATGCTGCGGCAATGTTCTACGAAGATCAACCAACAGTAAAAGGTGTGAAGAAGAATGTGCTTTTATCACACGTTTTGTTTGTATTGGAAAACTTTTTTATGATCTTAATGTTTTATTTCTCTTTTTACGTCAAAAGTTGGTACTCTTTACCTGTCACTGTCTGTGTTTGTGTGTTCAGTGTTCTTGGCTCCACGATGAAAATATGTGTACTTCGTTGGCTATACGAGAGAAAACGGCCGAATATTCAAAGTCCGCGAACAGCTGTGACGCAAGCAGCAGTTGTCAAGTGTTATATTAGTTCGGTGTAATGCAGTAATTCGTTTCTATCCAGCCTATAGCCACAATATTTGATCTTTTGAAGTCCTA